CGATTATTATGTCTATCTGATACATAAACAGATTGCTCTTCATCAACGAACATAAAACTAGGATTATTAAGTTGATTAAGTTGATCACCTTTTCCATTTCCACCTGCCACTACCATTCCTTCATTGTTATATTCTCCCATTTTCCATCGTCTCACTTCATTCTTCTCAGTATCAGAAACATAAAGAAATCCATGTTTATCCATTGCTAAGCAAGAACAGTGAATATTTTCAATGAGAACTTGTTGATTTTGATTCACCCATTGAATAACTCTGCTGTTCCCTTGATCGGCAATAATGACTGCATGATTTCGTTGATCAACAACTAAATCTGTTGGTCGATTCAATTGATCCATACGATTTCCTCTGCCATTTCCACCTGCAATGATTTGTCCTTTCTTTGCATTATATTTCCATTCAACAACACGATCATTGCTCGAATCAATAATGAAAATATTTTTCCTTTCATCAATAAAGATTCCATGAGGATAATTGAGTTGATTTAATTCTTGTCCTCGTCCATTTCCACCAGCTACAATGATGGCATTTTGTTCCCATTTATTAAATTTCGGTTCTAGAAAAAGATAAAAACAAAAAATTTTCATGAAAAGAATGAGAAAAAGAAGAAAAGTTGTTTTTCATTGAAGAATAAAGAAAAAAAATAGTAAAAGACGATTAATAAAAGAATTTTAAACAAATCGAAATAAAACAAAATGAAAGAGAAGAAAGATTTCTCCAGTAATCTCATAAATCTTAATGAATAAAAAGGAAATATAGTTTACCCATTAGTTATTATAAAATGCTAATGTATAATTCTATTTATAAATTTATCAATATATTGTCACAATAAAGCAAAGGAAGTTTTCAATATATTCTTTATACATTTATTCGGATAAATTTTTATTAAAAAGTGATTCGAGTCACAAAAAATATCTTCCCTCACTAATAGATATAAAAAAATGAAACTAATTTTGTTAATTAACTAAATTATCAATCACAAAGAAAAATATAAAATTTCTCTTCTCAACAAAACATCTTTCTATAACATTACAGTTTGAAAAGATCTCTTTGATATTCACTTGAGAAAACTTGTAGTCTGAATAAATAGATGAAGTCAATTATTTCTTCTTAATGCATAGTTTTTAAATTTGAGAAGAATATTTTAATCATCATTTATTTATTCAATCGTTGAAATAATTCTTAAATATTTATATCAAGTAAAGCAAATTTGAAAAAATTCAATCTTTTGAAATTATTTCTATTTCACTAGTTTTTATTAAAAATATTCTTTTCTAAGTTATATAATTGGATGACAAGATATAATATTTATCCTCCAAAATACATTTCATTCTTAATATAAACAGAAAAATAAAACATTAGATTAACTAATAATTATAAAATCTTCTTTAGTATATCATTTATTTCTTTTCTATTGAGTGAGTATTATAAGTTTATTTTCTAATAATCTATTCAATAAAAATAATGAAGCAATAAAACGTTAATTTATTATTGTCGTCATTACAAAAATCCATTTTTTTTCTTTAAAATAATAGAAAAATATCTTTTTGATTCTAAATAATAAAAAGATTTTGATTTTTGTTAGAATAATCATCAAAACTTCAAATTAATTCAATTTTGTTTTTCTCAATGAAATATTTTTTTGAAAATTTGAAGAAAATTTTTCTTTTATAAAATTTTATTTCACATCTATCAATAAATTAAATTGTCTACTTCTATTAATATTACTGCTACTTATTTGATTAATAAATAAATCAATAATATTGTCAATTGTTTTATCTTCTTCGTCGTCACTTTTCTTTATATTATACGTTTTCAACATAATTTTATAGGAAATGAGAGTTATTTTTATAGAAATTATTTCTTAAAAACTTACTTATTGTTGAAATAATTGAAATTTCATTAATAAACGATTGTGAATCTTGTTGAATAGAAATATTTGATGAATTAGTTAATTCTTCTGTAATTTCTTTTAATTGATTTCTTAAATAATTCAAATCAATTTCATTAAATTCATTTTCGTCATGAATTTGTTTTATTTGCTCAGATAAATCTTTAAATTTCTTTTCAATGTCAATAATAAATCTTCGCGAATATTTGATGACAATTTCTCTACAATTTTGTGCTCTCTGTTGAATTATTTCAATTGAATTTGTTTCCCACTGATTAATTTGTTTTATTAATGAATGATTTTGTGGATTTTGTTTTTGTTGATTAATTCTTTGTTTAAATTCATCATAATCATTAATAATATGGTTTAATTCTTCATTTAATATTTGTTGGTGTTCTGTTAAATGTGTTAAACAAAATTTTTTTGAACATCCTTCACAAGGATATGTTATTTTTTCTTTGTTACATGAAAAACATTGTGTTTTTTTGTTTGCCATTGCCATCTCTTTGTATCGAAAGTTAAAGAAATGAAGATCTCCTTATCTACTGTTTTAGATATAAACTCAATGATTCGATGATAATAAACACATTGTTCGATAGTAGAAGAAATCTAAAAAGAATTTTGTTGTGAAAAGATCTTACTAGTAAAACTGATGAGGTATCTAAGATGATTGGATAAAAATTGAGAATTGATTTCGTTAATTTCAATTACAAAATCGAAACGATTTTCATGATATTTTTTCAATGAAAATATGTTTTGATGTAGATTGAGGGTTTGTTTGCTAGTGAGTTCTCCTTAATCCACACCCACACTCATGAGCGCCTATTTGAATTAACTTAATCTCATTGAGACTTATGCAAAACACCGAAATGAATTCGAGAGCTCTGGAGCAGTTGTGCTAGTACCCATATTAGTATATCTTTTATATATGCAGCACTTTCTTTTCATTCTAAAAATTCTTCATATCATCATTGCAAGAATAATTTGAGAAGTCTATTTCATCAATATGATCATTTAACTTTCGTAGAGTTTGCTCTTCTATTTCTGAATCATCTAATCTATACGATACTTAGTTGAATTTGTCGTTGATGATTGACTCATAACAGATCAAAACACCAGTAATATCTTACACATAAGAAACGAGATAAGAATACTCTTTTCTTCAGTGCCTTTGAATATATATCATGTGACCATCGAAGAGAACGTTAGGCAAATATTCACTAAGCACAGCTAAATACGAAGGAAAGAAAAATAAACAAATATAAATATGATATTTTTTCTCTTCTTATTTTTCCTCTTGAAAATTACGTTCGCAAACCGCACTTTTCTATTTCGCCATCGTTCGTGTTATGTAGAGTGGCTTTATATGATGACTTGTTATATCTGTTCTCTTCCATATTCTCGACAAAATTTCGACGCAGAAAGGTAAAGAAAGAAAAAGAATGTATAAATATCGAATTATTATTTGTTCTATTCAATTTATTTGGCTCTTTAAATACAAATTTTTTGTAATACGACAAAAAGAAACAGTTAATTAAGTTGAAGAATTTCACGTGAGGTTGAATTGAAAGAAAAATAGAAGGAAAAATTCAACAAAGAATTAAGTCATGCGACAGAAAAGAGATAGAATTAAATTGTCAGTATAGGTATATAATAGATTGTGTAGAAGATATTACGATCTATTTGTAATAAAAAAAGCATTATCAGTTAAATGAGAAGTATAAGAAAAAGTGAAACAAAAGAATAAATTCATATCAACAAGATTATTTTTTTTATAAATGTAATTTCTTTTTGCCTATCAATATTTGCATTATTTGTTTATATGCACATTCTTTATTGTTCTCCATAATTTTTTTATTCTGATTTTAGATTCTTTTCGGAGATACTTTAATGTTGAAATATTCGATTGCTAAATAATTCTATGAGACAAAGAAATTGACGAACTTGAAACGGATAAAAACAAATCTTCACCGAACAGATGATGAAGTCGTTTTTTCGCTAAAAAACTTTTTTATCATTGAAATTTTTTGGTTCATCATACAATGCAAACCAGTTTTAGTTCGTTAAGAGCTACGCAATAGGGGTACTAGTAATTTGCGCTAACACCACGAACACCCACCTTTGTAAGAACGCACATAGGTCAATGTTACGAACACCCACAACTTGGAAAGTTATGCTCACGAACACCCACGAATACCCACTTTGTCCGACTTTTAGAAAAAATAAACCGTTAACAAAGACTAAAAAATGACACCTTCACCACGAACACCCAAAATCTCTCTTATAGTCCTAGCAGATTTCAAAAAGTTCTAATACGAACACCCACAGAATTTCATAATCTACGTTCTGACCCTAAAAAGTGCTATCCCCAAATAAATTTTTCTAATAAAATTTTCTCTACAAACATAGAACACTCTTAAAATATGTCCATAAATACCTACGAACACCCAAAATCTCTCTTATAGTCTGAACAAAAACCAAAGCGTTCTGACACGAACACCCACAGAAACATTCGCTCCATCCACTGGTATATGATTCGAATACTTTTAGACGAATAATTAGTTTGAAAAAACTCCAAAACACTACGTTATATTTACAATAAACTTCAATAACTGAAAAAATTGAAAATTTTTTTAAATACAATTTTCATATCTGGTTCGATAGAATTCGATGGACTGAGGCAGAATATGTATTTTTCAAGGTATTTAAAGACGATTCTTTGAAAAAATCAAGGAATTTTTTAGCAGCATGATATAATTATTTTTTCGGTTATTGAAGTTTATTGTAAATATAACGTAGTGTTTTGGAGTTTTTTCAAACTAATTATTTGTCTAAAAGTATTCGAATCATATACCAGTGGATGGAGCGAGTGTTTCTGTGGGTGTTCGTGTTGAAGGGGGTCATTTTTTAGTCTTTGTTAACGGTTTATTTCTTCTAAAAGTCGGACAAAGTGGGTGTTCGTAGCATTGACCTATGTGCACTTTTACAAAGTTGGGTGTTCGGGGTGTTCGCGTGAATTACTAATACCCCCATACTACCGTTCCGAGTTTTGTTATGATTAATACTCAATAGAAAAAAAACATAATTACCAAACATAACATATGGAGGAACAATTATCGTTTTTAAGACGATCGAAACTGGCATAGTGGATAATTCCCATCACGTATTTGAGAAAACATCTCAATATGGAGAAAACTGTAATCAGAAACCATGGGACTTGTCTTTTGTTAGATAATTGATAGAAATATACAAGAAAACAGCAGCACTATTCTCTATTTATTTATGAAATATGCTGATACTATTTCTTTCACAAGAATATCAAATAAGTCTGGCACAGAATACGACCTCATTCAGTTTTGACTCGGTTCCAGTTTTTGTCAATTCCAATTCCAACTTCAGTCAATTCCTACCCATTCCAACTCCAATTCTTACCCTTTCCTTCAATTCCAAGTTAAAAACTAGAATTGATGCATGCCTAGTCTTGAACTCTACTAAACGTTATTTTCATTGACAAAGTATTTCTTCGTACTTTAGTCGAGCGAAACATGACAAGACATGTTTCGTCTATAGGCCTTGTAATGA